GAATCGCAGAGCATTGTACTTGACTATCTGCAAAAACGCAACATAGACTCATCTGAAGAGACAAAAAATTATCTAACGTGTATGCTTTCTCTTCTTCCTTTTTCTGTGGCGATATTATTATCGCACATGACACATGTAAGTAGGTATTTTCACTTGTGCAAAGTAAGCCTAACGAGCAATTGACGAATGACACATTTTATTGATTGTTGTCAGTAGGTTTTTTCCAATTTCCTAGGTAAATAAAGACTGGTTTTTGTTGTAGTATTTTCAGATATTCTGTTGCTATTACAAAATCATCAGTAATACAAATTTGGTCATTGTCAGATTTTAGTTGACGATATATGTATACTAAAAAAACGAAAAGATTCAAAATGAACTGATGAATATTACAAATCTTTCAATTTTACATCATACTACTCAATCCGTATTATCTATAAGTGGTTGTGATCTAATTAAAGAATTTACATATAGCTGTTCCTGTGAAGTTCCGATGTATGTCCGTGCACAGGTTTATGAAAGTTTTCTACAGATCCAACCATAGTTTTTCCATGAGTAATAACATTTATCCAATCAGTGTCTTTTCGGTCTTCAATGTTGGGCAATCATTTTTGCATTTGTTCTTCTTTAATAAGTAAACTTTTGAGAATATAACGTTTTAATAATCGATTTAAGATCGATAATTATCAATGCTTGTTTGACACATTATTGGCATCATCTTTGCTATCTTCATCGACATCGGCAGTTGTTGGCAATATAGTTGACTTTAGAAGTGGACTATTATCTGGTGTAGAGGCGTGTTCAGTTGAATGATATAAATAAAAGAGAACAGTTTGTGCTTGTAAAAGAGAATTTTGTAACTCATCTGATGATGAAAAGGACACATGGTCCATATCTTTAAGCTTGAAACTGAGAACATCTTTAACTGCTCTGGCAAGGCCACAATCCAAGTTATCGTAGTTCTGTCGACCACTAGTAAATTGAAACATTCCACCTCGTAAACGAAGTACCAGATGTATTGTCGATTCTTTCCATATGCCATGGTCTGCAAGAGTTCTGTCATCTTCTATCTGTGTGCCAGCAAATATTAGACGTTGCTGATCAACAGGAATGCCTTCTTTTTTTTCTAGTAGTTCTTTCACAGCTATCATATCCATCCCTAAATTCACTAATAAAGTGATCGTTTTTCCAGTGAGTGTCTTCACAAATATGGGAAAATCAGTCTTAAGAAGAAAAACAACAAATATATGCGATATCAATGGAAGAATAAAAGATGATCAGATACCTTTTCTTCTATATTAACTGCTTCGGCACTGTCACAAGCCAAGTTATTGAAGTTCTGTCGACCACCAGTAAAATGATACATTTCACCTCGTAAACGAACTACCATATACATTAACGATGCGTTCCATATGTCATAGTCTGCAAGAGTTCTGTCATCTTCTACCTCTTGGCCAGCAAACATTAGACGTTGCTGATCAACAGGAATGCCTTCTTTTTTTTCTAGTAGTTCTTTCACAGCTATCATATCCATCCCTGAATTCACTGACAAAGTGATCGTTTTTCCAATGGGTGGCTTCACAAATATGAGAAAATCAGTCTTAAGAAGAAAAACACAAAATTATGTGATATCAAAGGAAGAATAAACGATGATCAAATACCTTTTCTTGTATAACTTTTGCCATGATAACACAATTATCTTCATATAAGTGACGTGACATAATTGTATCTTCTGATTCAAGTGTTGTACCTTCATTCCAATCTTTTTCGCTCGGTTTTGTTTTTGGCTTTAACGTACATGATTTTAATTCTAGACTAGGAAATTGTCCAACTTTGTTTATTTGCATTTTAATTTTTTCCATATTATCGATCAACAGAACACGCAAATTACATTGATGACGCGGTAAATGCTTATAATACCCAAGCCATACAATTACTTCACTATATGCAATAAATTGATAGCCATTTGCATAATGAGATACAGTTGATCTCAATCCACAATTATTAGCTGATGAGATAATAGAATCTTTCATAATTCCAATTTTTATCCATTTTTGTAAATACTTTGGTACATAATTCTTCTTAAACGTTATTAAGACATTATTGATCATTTCATGATCCATAATTTTGTCGACAATTTTATTACCATATGGATCGATAAATATTAGTGAACGAGATTTCAATTCATGTCGCTTTCTTTTTCCATCTTTCAATCGATTATCAAGTACATTTTTAATTTTAGCCATGTAATCTTGAATTGTCCTAACTTGAGAGAGTAAGTCTTCATAGACAAATGAAGATGGTATTGTCGAAATACTTCGATCCGTTGTCATAACACTAGATGATATCCGCTACAGTAAGTATCTATAGAAAAAGAGATTGTACCAACACAAACTAATCGTCTCATGTCGATTGTATAAGAAAATTTCTATGCTTCTTATCAACTTTGAAATAGATTCTCAAAAGAAATAACAGAATCGTTTACTGCGAAGTGAAACTTAAGGGGGGAGACCCCACTCCGTTTTCCCTATCAGTTTGTAGAGGTTAAATTTTTAAGTTTAGTCTCGATTTTTAAAATTTTAATAAAATTTTCAGATTTCTACATATAACCTCGGTTTTGAGGTCAGTCGATAGAGGACATCAAGATGTATCTGCAAAAAGTTCTGTCAAGCTTTTGGTGAAGTTTCGACTGAGTTATTCCTCTTTGACCCGCCGGATGGCATTTTGGAGCAAGAAGTATTTTTAAAAACACCTTGAATCAAATTTCGCTCGAAGGAACCATTTTCAAGGAAAAGCGTGGGTATGAAAATTGTTCAGAATCAGATTCCCTGGAATACGAAAGAAGGATTTTTCGAAATTCATTAAACTCGATTTTTAAATTGAAAAATACGGTTTTTAAAATTTTAAAATTTAGTAAACTTTAATTTAAAAGTTCGATTTAACGAATTTTGAAAACTCCTTCGTTCATATTCCAGGGAATCTGATTCTGAACATCGAACCTATTTTTAAAATCTTTCCTGTTCTATGGTCTTTAATCATAAAAACTTAATTCAAGCGCGAAACGAAAGAAAAATGTTTGGAGAAAATAATTAAGAAAAAGAAAAGGTTTGTGTTCTTTCGTACATTTTCATGGTTAATTGATATTAATTATTGTTAATTAATATCACTCTACTCTAATAAAGCCACATTTGTCCAATAACTACGCAACGTGCTAAAGTTATTTATATCTCATCCGATAGAGAATTTTACGGACTACAACATGGGCTGTCTCTCTATATTTTTCAGATAAAATTTGGCCGTGGAAGAAACCAATTTTCTTTGACGACGGAACTGTTCTCCTTATTCTTGCACAGTGGGCACTTTTTGCTAGAGCAGGCGGACTTTAGCTTTATGAGTGAACTAAAATTTCATGAACTATTTTTTTATAGGTTTTTCATGATCCTCTTTCTAATGGCATGAGAGTTGGGCTTTGAAAAGCTTTTTTAAGGAGTTTTCCAGAGATCCAGTCTCTGGAAAACCCTTCAGAAAA